AACTGTTGTTTGAGTACTAGAATACATTTCTTCAAAGATGATATTCCTGTCTAATCAGATATATTCAAAGCATTATAACTAATAGATATGTACGATAAAATCAACTTAACTAGTTTGATAGATAGAGAGAAAAGAAAAACAAGATCATAAGTATAGCCAGTTCCATTGATTCATTTCATGAAATATGATATTGAATGAAACTAGTCAAGTTATACACTAAGATGTTTAGAAGTATAGTTCTTCAATATAGATAGATAGATAGATAGATAGATAGATAGATACAAAGGAGTCTTTAGTTACTCAGTGGTGATTAGATAAATTCACATGATGATAAAATGGAATGTTTAATTTACTTTTAATAAAAAAATTTTTTTGGTAAAAAGAAAATCTTTCAATCAACCAAGATTGATGATTCGAATGGTAAGTAAAGAAAAAAAAATCATTGAAATGGTTACCAAGTTGTACGCCTTGTTTGGTCTGTTTTGTTATAAACGGTACATAAACGTTAAATTTACAAACAAAAAACAAACAAACAAACAAACAGAATCAATGAAATGACTTACTCTAAAGAAGTTCAGACAAGTTTCTTGGATGAAACAATGAAATGATTTCATTAAAAAAATAGTGAAATATAAAGATTAAGTTTCCTAATCTATCATGAATCAATGTAAGTTGCTTTTTTAGAAAATTACTATATTTATAAGAAAGGGGATTTTATGGAGATTGTACGAATTTGATAGTTGAGTCACACTTCCAATATCTTTTCTTAATTTCCATTTTTCAGCTCGAAGTTGGTTTGTACTCTCCCACAGTAGGCTGTTGTTGATGGTATCCGGTCAACGGACATTGAGTGTCTTATGTAAACAATTGTTCATAAATACTTATACCTTTTTGATGATAGTTGTGATAGTTCTCCAAGTTTCAGCTCCGTATAATAGAACGAAGTTTCTTAACGTTCGGATTGAACATTCTGACTTTGACGTTAGTTGACAATTGTTTCGAGTTCCATATGTTTTCCAACTGTTAGAATGCGGCCCTTGCTTACAAATCTCCATCGGATCCTCTTTGTTCATCGATGATGCTTCCCAGGTACTTGAAAGACTCCATAACTTCCAGAGCTTCTCCATCAAGTACGATTGGGTTTGCATATAGGTCATTTAAAAACATCTGTAGCACCATAAGTTTAACGTGGGACATTAGATGATCACGCATTGGCCTAAAAGTATCAAGCCCATCCCAAATCTGCGTTCCGGCCTTAGTAACTAGTGCATTACAATGGAGGATGAAATAATGTTCGATTACTCAAGAGAATTCAACTCTAATCATATCATAGAACATCAGGTACCTTAAGTAAGATTTTGGAAATTATATTCGCTGTTAACAATATATCAGGAGAAAAGTTTTAAATTAGTAAATCATGACCAATATATTTACCCGGAGTGATGTGTCATTCATTTGCTTTCATATTGATGTTAATTTTGAGCAGTAACTCAATCATTATTACCCTTCTGGACTTACATATGGGCGTTATTAATTATTCGTGAATTGTTTGAAGTTAGACAATAACACTGTTCGTTGCCGGCTCAGAGGTCTATGGTTTAAGTGTTTGCGCGCGGGACCGAAGATCCTGGGTTCGGATCCTGAGAGAGGAGCCGTGGACGCGTACTGCTGAGGAGTTCTGCACTAGGAAAAAACGGCCGTCCATTGCTTCAAGGTTTTCCACGATAGTTGAGCTTTGATTGACTCATGAATTCAACTATTAAGTTTGTATATTGATAAATATTACAAATATATCATTATTCTTATTATCAATAATGATTAGGTTATTCGAACTAATTAAGTTAAGCTTTCGTAATGATACCTTCAAATAGTTTAGGTGTTTACTAGTTATTACGAAGTAAATCTGTTAAATTGAAAAGAAACATTTGAAGTAACATCACAATGGATGAACGTTTGGATTACCTCGTAAAAGATTCCTAATATCATAGTAACTTTATAGTTACACTGAAGCTAGAGGCTATTGAATCGAAACATGATCTGTGCTATATCGAAAAATATTAAAAACGTTTGTGTTTGAATACAGTGCAGTTATTATTGTGATGTTTCATTGAAGATTTTTAGGTAATCTACTTCTCATCTTTTTTCCAAATTCTTAGTTGTGTCATCTTTAACTTTTCATTCTTCTATTGGATTTGTTTGATTTCATACTATATTTCTCATGTTTAGATTTTCATTAAATTTTATATTGATCTTTTAACCTTTTGAGATGGTGGAGAAGATTTGTATCTCAGATGGATGATTTTGATGGGGTTTTATTCTCTGAGTTGAATGGTTTGGTCATGGAGCTTTCATCGTTCTTCTGAATGACGTCATCAGCACAAATTTCAGGTAGAAGTGAAGTGTTGGAATTTCTTCACATATGGTTCATAGATTTTCTCTTTATCTTGCTAATCTCCTTTGAAATTGTTCTGAGATATGGTCCAGTAATATAAACTGGCATATACGTGTCAGAGATTTTATTGTTGACTATGACTGATTGATTGAATTGAATCAAATATGAAATGAATACGGTATTTGTTTTACATGATATTGAATTTATAGACAACACTTTCATTTGAATTCATAATAAGAAAACACTTAAACACATCAATGTCTCTTCTTCGTTTTCACTATGAAATAAGAAGTATATCATTAATAATCAAGATATTTATTGTTGTTGAAAAACAAACCATTTTAACATTTCAGTCAGTTGAGTTTGAAGGATACAATGAAGCAAATTGAGGAAAATATCCTCTTGGTATTATTTGTGGTATATAAGGATCCACTTGTTTCATCGGTATGAAGTAAAATTTAGCTGAGTTAATTTTTCACTAAGATAAAAATGTTATCGATGGAAGTTATAAATAATGACCGAAATGAAGCGCTATTAAAAGTTGTTACAGAGTGATGAGGTTATGATTCAATTTGAAGTGCCACATCATGAACTGGCTTCGTTTAGACAATCAATAAAAACAAAGAACCATTGGATAAGTGTTTCGTCTTAATATATGACTGTTTAGTGACAGTGGGCATTTAAGATCATACGGGAAATCGAATCCAGGAACTTCAGACGTCAAAGCTCTTAACCTAATTAAAATCAATCCTTGATATAAAAATCCAATGAATTGAATGTCATTTATCACATATTCAATTGAAATGTCAACATTTATGAAATATATAAAGATTCGAATTTTTAACATAGAGATTACACAATTATAATGAATTAATAGTTGAATTCATGCGTCAATTGAAGCCAGACCATCATGGAAAACCTAGAAGCTCTAGACGGACGTTCCGTCTTAGTATGGGACTCCTCAGCAGTGCGCATCCATGGGTTCACTCCGCGGGACTCGAATCCAGGACCTGTCTCGCTTACTGCCAAGGAGTTACATACTAGGACGAAACGGACGTCCAGTGCTTCGAAGTTTTCCATGAAGAATCAAATTTCCAAGAATCAAATTATTTAAGGATTCATTTTATTGATGATGGTTACCAGTATCTACGTCTAATGTGCAAGGACTAAACGAAAGACTTTGCGATATGCTGTACTTGTTATACTACTGTACTGAACGAGAACACAAATGGGGACAATCGAATGTATTTTAATATAAAATTACAGAACATCTTAGCAAAATCTGAGAACCATATAGTAAATACTTCATTCTGCAAAATGTCAATCAATCGTCTTAGACTTCATTGTTCCTTTGGTTCCACAACAGTCATTCTCTATTCTAGTTCTCTTTCCTTCGATCGTCTTAACCTTCTGCTGTCAAGCCTTTTACTTTCTATTGATGATACATACTACTTATATCTATCGATTTCAGTAGCACACACTACAGTACGGCTGCAGTCAGCTGGTAGAAAAGTATGTATTCATTTTATTCAGTATCTAAGATTTTGTGAAACCTAGAAAAAATTAGATATCCAATAAACCATCATTTCAGTCTGATACATAGTGATTAATATAACCAAATATCAAAATCATATATCTGTCCTGACAATCCCATCTAGGTAATCAAACTTGAATGTAATCTAATGTTGTGAAATTAAGAAATATATTCTGTGAATATTCATAGTTTTCCACTTTAATTAGACATTGATCAAAGTGAAAGTGTTCTAGTATCTAGTGATGAATAGGATAGAACATTGTGTTTTTTTTCTGTTTAACCAATTTATTATCAGCATAAACATTAGCTGTTTGGATCCGATTTGCGAAATCTTATCCACAGATCATATCATGGCATATAGTGGATAGAGTTCAGTCAATATTTATACAGAATTTATGAAGGTTTGCATAATCCCACAAATGAAATCATTTCATTCTATATAGCACTCAACAACAACAACAACAACAACAAAAACACAACTTAGTTGTAAACACTTGATATACTTATGAGTATACCTTAACACATTCTAGTTGTAAAACTAGTTGAACTCCCCAAAAGATAGTTAAGCTAAATCCTTCTGAACCAATTTGATAGAATTCATAAATACATAAGATATACATAATAAGTTAAATATACATTCTATTGAATTCATTGACTACATATTCTAAGCGGTCTGTTTGAATATCTGGGCTACTTGTTCTTTTCATCTAAATATTTCATTAAATTATTTGTTTTCTTGTTTGTTTTCACATATCATTATACCCCATTAGTCGCATAACCTATTCAAGAGCGTTTATAACAAATTGACGACATTTCCCTGTACAAGTGACAAGGAAAAGTACAATTATCCAAAGCATTCTGATAGCTAGCAATATGCATTGAAAAAGAATGACCACTTATCAGATGTCAATTCCTGACACAATTAACATCTAACTGACGATCAAGGATTGATCAAGACATAAGAAACTAGGACTTTGTTGAAATACTTAATGCTTTGAATTCTATATTGTATCAAAAAGATATTGAATCAAGCCATTCACAATAATAATCATAATCATAATGAATAATTCTTACTTGTTATTAATTGATATTTATTATTCTGTGTATAATCCTTTTGCCAAACTTTAACTTGATTATAATTTCAATGATGATACGTTAGTAATTTGATAACGTTTTGCCTTTGAACTAACTAACTAACTAACTAACTAACGTTTTTAACAGCTGGGCTAAATAAATTGATCCTAATTTTGGAAACTTTTTGTTTGTTTTTTTCTTTTCTTTTCTTTCTTATCCAATCATAAACAGAGAATTTCAAGGTCAATTAGTCTAATATCGATTTGTAATTGATTTGAAAAAAAAATTGTAGAAAAAAAAAGAGGAAAATTACCTACTAGGGGAAGGATGTTTTGAATGATTAACAATGAACCAATAATCATCAAGTGAAAAGATAATATTTTATTGGTCTACATGTTAACTGAATGGAATGTCTCCATTTGACTACTTGATTATAAGTAGTATTGTTGATAGGTGTTAAATATCTTTTATAAGTGATTAATTATTATAAAGAGAGCAAGAACAAAGATTGGTGCAGAATAATGAATGGATTCATTTTATTTCGTCAGGTTCTCATCAGCTGCTTACAACCTAAAATATTTGAAATTCAACATTATTACATATATTGACATATTTATACATAAGAGGATGATTAAGGATGAATAAATGTGTATCATTGTGTATCATGGTGCAATCAAACGTCTAAAACCAGATCTATGTATACATAAAGAGACAGTAATAAATCTTTCTTTACCCTGGTAACAATAACCCCCCCCCTTTTTTTTATTCATTTATTTCTCTATTTATTTTTTGCGTCATTACTTCAACATCATACATAACTGATTGATTTCAATTCATATTTTCTTTATTATCCATTAATCTATTTTCATGAGTTCTAATTACTATTTCAATGTTCTGGAACTTTCCCTCTCAAACTTTATTTGTTCGAGACAAAGTTATATGAACTCATCAACTCTATTGGAATCTCTGCTACACCATGATACACATTTATTCAACCTTAATTATCCTCTTATGTATAAATATGTCAATATCTGTAATAATGTTGAATTTCAAATATTTTAGGTTGTAAGCAGCTGATGAGAACCTGACGAAATAAAATGAATCCATTCATTATTCTGCACCAATCTTTGTTCTTGCTCTCTTCAAGATAATAAAGGGAACTATGTGTATGATTGATTACATCCTGACGACTATAATGAATGGTAACTGTTGGAAACTATTTTTGGACTAATAGGATATATGTATATATATTCTTTTATTGTATAATTGTTATGTAATTAAACTATGTATATTCATAATCCTCTTATTCTAAGCTTTATTTTGACTCATAGATGATTATTATACGATTTACCATTCTTGAGTTATGTCCTGTCACTTCATTGCAGTCTCGCACATTCATATCCACTTTTGACTTGATCTTGTACAAATGTGTATTTTCTATTTTATGATACGATATGGTCTGTTTGATTGGTAATATAAACCCAGTTATGTTTGAAATACATGATTCATATCATGGAGGCTGAGATCGGTGTTCTGGACTTGACAGGTAGGCAGGGTTAGTCAGGAAGAAGGATCAATAAAGATTGTCGACTGCTCATACTTGTTTTATGCATCATTGATCCGGTCGATAATTCATTGTTCTCTAATTGGCGGTATCATTGATAGCGTATAAAGCTACAAGTTATTTAATCAGAAACTGTTTCACATGATCCATAATAATTTGGAATTTCTAAATGATTCGTCTAAACAAATAAATGTCTCATTTGTCATTAAAAATTAATAAATAATACAGGAAATTGTATGTTTAGTAAACTAAAGATATTTCTAGGTTCTATGAAAATTGACATTAGATTATGTTGTGTACAACTGATGAGTCAATCAGTCAGTCAACAATGTAGAACTTCGTACGTACATACATCAGTTCGAGTTGACATACCATATTAACCCAAAAGATACAATTGTCGATTCATATGTATAAAAATGCCAGTTTTTTTCTTAGAATAATTCTAATTGATGATGATGATTATTCTTATGAACCATCAACAACATGGCGCCAATTGATTCCGTATGAAACTCAGTTGCTTTTTATTATGAAGATAATAATCAAATAAGTTTTTAACGATAAGTATTGATTGTTCAATTTAACAATCAGGTGATTGTAAGATGATATATTTCTAACTGAAATCAACTATATTCTAATTATAATTGTGTAATGATTAGATTTTAGACATGAATTAGCGATAGAATCAAGAATACTCATTTCATTTCAGTTTTATTAGCGATTTATGGATGAACCAATCAGATTTAGAATAATAGGTGTTGAATTTTGGCGCGGAATTCATTCATCCATTTGGTGAAAGAGCATTTTTTTATTTTTAACTGATGTCAGTTCGTGATAAAAACTCTATATCTAATTCCTGACCTTAACCATCAAATATAATTTATAGTTCTAACTCCTCACACTGGTTTATAACCTTCAATTAACTCTAGTTACTAGGTGAGTATTACCAAGGTCACTTTAGCGTCACTCAAGGGTCGTCCATAAACTATAGTCTCATGTATTTCTGTACTTGTAAGCTAGATATACCTGTATCTTCGTATTGATACTCATAATGGGCTTCTGACCCAGTATCCGAAGGTCTACATTTTCAAACAATATCCGATTAACCTTACGCTTATGATAACCACTAACATGCAACAGGGTTTGATAATTATTCTTCATTTGTGGATTGATATTTTGTGATCATAAAATCTTGGCTCATGATAAACATACGCAAACTGTTAGATTTAGGTAGAGTTTTGTTTTCTGAGCTAGATAGTTTGGTCGTGGAGCTTTGATTGGTCTTCTGAACAACATTATGAGCGCAAACTTCAGGTAGAAATAGTGTCCGAATTCCTTCATATATAACTCAAAGCTTATCCTGTGAACGTTGATCTTGATTGGTTACTGTTAACAATGAATGAAAAATGAAAGCTCTATGAAGAAGCCATCCAGATCAGTGGACGAAATTCCACCTTAATCACCCACCCTTAGCTACAAATCTTCTGCACCATCTAGAAATTGTGAGGTTGGAAACAGAAGTGTTATATTCTATGATTTGGTGCAATTATTATGAATGCCCAGAACCACTAACTATCCTAGATATGTGGAGAAAAAAACTTAGGACTGAGCAGGAAGGTTTTTTTGCTAAGTACTTAATATATATGTCCGCGACTCATCCTTGTACATAGGGGGCTCGGATACCCGCAACAAGAATGTATTGTATCAAACCTATAACGTTGATTAAGACGATTATTGTATGAATTTGACTGTGGACTGAGGAATAATTCGCTTGCAGTTGTCCGTCCACCTTTGTATCTTACATGTTGTGTGATCTTGAGATACAATGTTACTTATCTGTTTTCTCTAAATAACGAGTTGAGACAAGGTACGATAATTTCTGAATACGGCTGTTCTGTCAGGTGCATAAGTAGGAAATGAAAAACATAGTGATGTAATTATATCAGTACTTGATATTCATACATAGTTTATAACTCATGCTGCATTGTAGTGTATGCTAACTATGTTGATGGATATAAGTAGTATGTAGCACCAATCATTAATGAAATGCTTGCTAACAGAAGGTTGAATTGACAAGAACAGTAAAGAAAACAGAGAATATTGAGATAAAAACAGAATTGAAACGTGTAAACGGCAACTGAAGGAAGATATGAAAATAATGTACTTAATGTACGTTTTTCATATTTTACCATGGTTTTGTGTAATTTTGTATTGAACAATGAAATGGCTGGCCTCATTTAAGTTTTCGTTTACTATAGCATAACCTAGATTTCTGCTCAGATCAAAATCACTATTCTGTGAGTTGACAGCATAGATTTCCAATAGGTCTGCTTATAAATTCATTTCGCTAGTAAAGGATGTTTCCATAGATCTTGTTCTATGAGCAAATAGTTGTTTGTTTCGATCAAGATCAAGTAGTGAAATACATGATTTGTTCAAGGTATTAAAGGTGGTGTTTGGAATTAAACAATGTGTATGATAACACTTCAAAAGTTACTTATTAAGATACAAAAATTTGTTCAGTTATTTTCTAATTTATGCACGCTTATTTCATAAAATGAAAACATTTAAGGAAATATGTGGAACGGATAGATGTTTGTTTCTAGTGAGGTGCTCATCAGCAGTGGACAACTGCGAAGCAAAATGAAATTGATTTGAGGGCCTACAGGTTTGTGCTAAGCATGATGCTTCAAAATCAATTAGACAATATTCAGTCATCGAATATCATTCGATATTATGGAGGGTTCATCTAACTCCCTCACTGCTAGTGTAATACTTTCCTTAGGCCACGACATCGTTACGTTTCTGGAACGGAGGTCTCTAAGAATGCTGGTCCAGTTTTAGCGGTTAGATAGACTAATATTTTTAGGTCAAATCTGGGAACTGAAGGCAATTCCATCTGACCGGTCGCAATCACTAATCATCCCAATAAGGGGGTCAAAATCATCCTATGGTAATCATAGGAGGATTAGTTTAACTAATATAGCATCTATCCTCAATAATTATCGGGTGCCTAACAAAGACTTGTGAACTGCAAACACGAGAAAATAAGGCTAGCTTCAGACCTGATCGTGGCTACATCGACCACATATTCACCATTCGTCAGACGATGATAGTTTTCCTTGACTTAAAATCAGCGTTCGACTATGCAGACCGAGAGGTTCTATGGTAGTACCTGTCGCTGAAAGGCATACCTCAGGAAAACATAAACCATTGAGGGCTTTTTACTCGAACACTACCAGTTGTGTCAGAGCCTATGGCGAACTGCCATCTGGTTTTGCGACCTCAAGTGATGTCTGGCAAGGCTACCCACTATCTCCATTGTCGGCCAATTTCATCATAAACCTATTACCACAAATAAAGTCCTCGTCGTTTGGACTTTCAGGGATTGAACTCCTAGCATAAGGTCCACCCATCGATTTAGAATACGCAGATGAGATAGTCCTATTTGGTGAAGATGCTGATAAAATGCAGTGTTTTGGTAGTACTGAGCAACAATGCCAGGATGATTGGGATGCGTTTCTTCCTCTCTAAATGCAAGTCGTTGCTTCAGGATTGAAATGCGCGAACACCAGGAATAAGAATAGGTAGTGAAGTAGTCGAACGCGTCGACGACCTCTTATCTTGGAAGTCTGATCAACCATAATGGATTGGTGTTTGACAAAATCTCTGCATGGATTTTGTCAACTTACGTCTCCTGTGCCGAAGGCGAGATATTCGTCTACCAATTAGAAATTTGTTCTGTCCTAGTTTACGACTGAAAACGTGGTCACCAAGGGTAGAGGATAGTCGTAAGTTAGCAGTATTTGACCAAAGATGTTTAAGAATCATTGCCATCTGCTGAGATCACCGGGTGAGTAATAGTGAAGTTATACGCAGGGTATTAGGGAATGATGGTAAGTCAATTGGTGAGGTTGTTAATCTTTATCGACTGAGAAGGTTGGGCCACGTGTTACGTATGCCTGAACACCGATTACCATGTCGTGCAATGCTAACGGGTGTTAGAGATGGTTGGAAGAAAATTAGGGGCGGCCAAACCAAAACGTGACTTCTAGTCTGAGCCATGTTGGTAGACGCGGACTACTTGGTTGGGGTCTGCGCGACTATCGTAATCCATGGTCGGAGGCTCTGGGTGACATGGCTCAGAATCGAACGCAATGTCGTAGATGCATACACACTCTGTCTTTCCTTAAACCACGAGATTAAAATCGCTTCATATCTTTCTTTCTATCAACTAATTCTTTCTTCCAGTACTATATCCTTATACAAAATCTTTCCTTTATATACTACTACCATTGAATTGACTACTTCTATCAATTCGTTGTTCATCTTGTTGTGCAAGTGGAATCACTTAATTTCTCACGGTATATCATGTTTAATATAGTGTGTTCATCAAGGAGAATAAATTAACGACTATGGCATTTAATATCAATATAGGTCGTGAGCTTTTAACGAAGATACGTGTGTACATTTGACGATTTACATAAATAATTACTTCGTGAAAACAAATCTAAAGAGAAAGATTTCCTGTAGGGTTTTGAATTAGATTGCCTAGTAACATACACCAAAACTCAATATTATTAACCTCATAATCCAACTACTCAACAATAATCCTATAAGAATAAATGAAACCGAATCTTAAAATTATACCCTCAATATCTGTTTTCATAAATGTAAAAGGAAACACAGACAGAAATACTGAGTATCCATTCACCCAATGATAGACCACTGGAACATCTCATTTGTACCACAAATAGATTATGAGAGCAATTAAGGTCAAATAAGTGTTTGTATTTATGTTGAAATGTTATTAGCTACTATCCCTAACAGACCTGATGGAATTTTAAGGATAAATGAGGTGATTGAAAAACACACGCACACACATACAACTAATCCATTTGCAATACATTGAGAAAGTTATTACATTAACAACTGTCAAGATTGCACACTAAAGTTCACTAAAAAGAAAGTAATGGCCACATTCATTGAACAAAAAAAAGAACAGAAAACAACTAACATATTCGTGTGCAACTGTAATTTCTGGTTTACTTTTAAAATTATGATCATCATTATTAGCATTAGAATTATATAAAGCCAGATGAAACAAAAGATACATAGTTAGTTAGCTAGTTAGAATTAAGTTTATTATCATTGTGGCTGCAGTTGTCATCGTTGTTAGAGCTTCAATCTCTTTATTACTTTGAATAGAAAAAACAAACGAGCATTGGCAATGACGATAACAATAACCAACAAACTTCAGTCAAAAGAACAATATCAAGTTTATATGCATTAGTGTGTGGAAAAGGGTGAAAAAGGTCTGGGCTGATTGATAGTAGTATTAGTAGTAGTCATCATGGTGTACACACAAAATACATTTCACATGCAATTTTGTTACCTTTAAAAATAACTTTAAGGCAACGATTTAAAAAAAAAGTGAAGAGAATGAATGAGCAGGAATTAAAATTTCGTCAGAAGTAGCAATATGAAGCAATTGCTATGCGGGAGAGATCGATTCACATCATATGAAACAAACGAGGAGTACAACATAGAACAACAACAACAACAAAAACACCAACAAGAACAACATAATTGCTGCTTGAACTGACTTTAAACAATGAAAAAACAAAAACAATACATATATATATATATAAACAAACAAGCGAATAGTGTGTTTATTTTTCAGGTAGAAAATAAATGTTATTACAATTTGAAAAATAAACAGAGAGAAACAAGTGTATAAGCAGATAGAGAAAGAAAGAAAGAAAGAATGCAACGTAAACAGAGTAAGCAAAACTGTAGAAGAAACTTTGGAACAGTGATTTCTCTCTCTAAAAAAGGAGAAAATAATAATAATAATAAACTAACATAATAATGACCATGAAAAAGAGTGAATCAATTGCATTTCCCTAAATAAGTCACAGCTCATCGCCACATTATTGTTAGTATCCCATATGATGATGATGATGATTGAAATAGTTTTCTCCTTCTAGTTCTTCTTCATCTTCTTCTATAAATTTACTAAAGTCATAGAATTAGAAGAATACACACGCATAAACATTAGGTAGTTGTAAAATCTGTAGTAAAAAAGAGAAGAGAGGAAATTAAAAGCAGTTATTCAAAATAAAGCTTATCAGTAAATATACACAGAGAGAGACAAAACATAACATTGACAAAGGGTTATTATCATCAAGTCTTACTCACTAATTACAATCTGATCTATGATGGTTAAATGAAGATTATCTGATGAAGGTTCTTATGATAAATACGACCTGTGCTTGAAGACATTGAACGAAACGGATCAAAATTGGTCACAATAGACCAGATATATACATTGTTTATCTCCCTCTAGATCTTGTGTTGTAGTATTTTTTTAAGCATACACCTTATCATTCTATCTTCGTGAACTATATTCTATATATGTAATGCTTTTCACAACCATCGATACTAATATTAGTTCTACTTCTTTGCTATTCATCTTAGTATTTTCTTCATGTTGTGTTGATGTAATATGGTAACTCGGAAAAACGCATATTTTCGACATGCTCTACATCGATTATGACTGATTAACTATGGATACGAAAGTCTAGTGATGGTTTGTTCAATCATAAATTCGCTTATCAATTGTTAGGTTATTTCGTTCTACTTCGATTGGAAGCAAATGGCTGGTACCAACATATAAAACGGTATAACTCACAGTTGAGTACATTAACTTTTTAATTCGTATATCGGGTAAAATTATGTACCGTTATCCTTAATGCTGCTCATTATTATTAGTTTTATTTGAACAAGGGGGAACCAAATACATATGCGCTACACAATAACAATGAGGCCAGTAGAAGTTATCATTGATATGTATGAGGGTTGTGATATTGTCAGAGTGCCCAAACCGAAGATGGTTTTCTTAGGGGACCGCACCCCAAAATTTTGACCTAATGGTTTGACCCACAAGGCAGTGCAGCAACGTCAGGAGATGCAGTCCCATGGTAGTCGGTGACCAACAATAGGCTCATACATACACCATTTGTTCCCTCAGGATCCTAAAGCCCATGCGCATCATTGGTTTGGAATGAGGGTTTTCCAACTCCTCTAAGTAAATCCTCCATATCCACCAACTCGATTTGCGTGATGACCATTCGCTTTTCGTCCTTTCAATTTCGTAAACAACAACCTGAGCACAAGAAAGCAGCGATTAGGACAGTGGTTATATATACTTGGCCATGTGAAAGCATTTTGGGAGAGAGCGCAAACTTTTCCCACTCTCGGAGGTACCAGGGTATTTGTTATCATTATTTCAACAACAAAAACATTCATTCAATTCAGTAAACGATTGTTTATATAATTTAGTTGACTCTTAATTATTACCGATCCATTTAAAATTTTGATATACCAATATTAATTTAAATGATTAATTCGATATTTACGTTAATTAGTAAATGAACAGTAGTAACCAATATCAAATTGTTCAATAGCTGATATAGATTAAATTCTATGGGTAATAATTACAATAAGACTTAGGTTAAATATAACAAAGTATTGTTATAGTTTAATTGATTAATGTATTAAACTTTCAAATATTAAATGATAGATCTAAACCTTGTTTAGTAATAGTTCCATTTTGATAACCGGATACTATATAACTTATATATAGAAGGACTCGAACTTGAGTACATATAATTATGTATTTCTTAAATTTAACAAGACGATACATTTTAATTTTGATTTAAGGTAGTTGAAGGAAATCATTAAGAAAACCTATAATTTGAAATTATGTTAGTTGATATCAAAAAGCATCCATTATTATATAATCAATCCGCGCGAAGGATTCGAACCCAGAGCCCTCGGTCTCGCGCGCGAACGCTTAAACTCTAAACCACTGAGCCGGCATTCGACGGTGTTAATGTCTTACTTTAACTAATCCATGATATTGCGTGTCCTCCAACCATTGTCTTCAGTTAGTAACGGTTGAACTCTACCACTGGTCACAGCTTCATATTAGAACTCCGGAAAATCCATCTTGAAACCAGTCACTGGTGAGCACATGATGATTATCAGTATAGGGTTATAGAATAAGTAAGCAAATATGAAACAGAAAATACTCAACAATACACAAATAAGAATATAGACTAACTACTTACAGTTTAAGCTTTGTTGTGCAAAAAATCGAACATCCTGATCAAAATCATAATCTATGACTTTTTTTAAAACCGGTATCACATCATTTTGAATAGTTCTACATGACAAAGAATGGTGAGGAAGAAAGAAGGAGAAAATACACACATAATGAGTACATTGATTAAAGAATAATAACTAGAAAAGTTGTAATTGATTAACCATTGATAAGTGACCGATCATAATACACTAATTATACAGTCGATACATTTTGAAATCATCTAAAAAAGATGAACGCTTTACATTTAAACTGTTAAAAATATTAAGGAAACACAATTTACTCAAATAACACAGCGAAACAGATACACTCTAAAATCAAACATTTTAAACACAGAATGAACAAACAAAAAATGGCATTTTTATATTTTCGTGGTGCAGTTTGAACTAAAACAGATTATTATGTTACACTGGAAACCCTACATATTTAATCTTATCAGGTAAATGGTTATGCATTGGGCGGTTATGAACCATATTTACAGAGAAAGAGCGAGTGCGATTGCCCGACTTTACGAATTAAATTCAATGGTGAGAGAGAGACAGAGCATTCATGTGTCAAGAAACGATACTTCAATAAAGAAAAAAAATATTGTGCATTTAGTATTTAAATAATCCTGAAAGACAATAATCAAATGAGAGAGAAGTTCGATTACAAATGAGATCTTAAGATCGATATCACGATATACTAGGCACATGAAAATGGTAACTTAAAGTAAAAACAAATCTAATGCTTTGGGAATAATCCCCTCAACAGATAGGAGATAGTATGGCACTTAAAAAACTCACTTTTTATCCAGAGAACCGGAGATTACGTGGAGGGCTTGTGTTGCACAAATTCGTACATTTGGCACTACATCCTCCGACAGGAAACGTAATAACTGAGCTACACACCCGGTTAAATAAACATTTGGTATTTGTGGTGGTGCTTGGCAGCCTTTAGGAACAGTTGTAACATTTACATTATCTGAATTTGTGAGGTTCTTCGATGTTTTTGATGACAAATAAGCATAGATGTTACGGGAAGCAGGAAAGAGAATTCCTGCGCTAGGATCATCACCTAGGGCACTGTAAGGAGGTTCATCCAAGATACCAGGGCCCCAAACAGCCTATAAACGTATCCAGAAAAAGATAATACCGTTTGTAATTCAAATGACAAAGTTAGTCATTCATGAAAAGTGATTAAAAAGCATAATGATGAATGGAAGCTTAGAATTTAGGAAATGATACTATTACATAATTGACAGTTATGAACTTAGATCAAATTTCACACGATTAAGAACCACTAGTATTTAGGTTTCTCGTGTAGATGGATAATTTTTATGGTGAAGTATGTACCAGGTTTATTAAAATGATAGGAGAAACATAAAGTGATAGATGACATAGAATATAAATTTGTCAACTAATAAGTATTTAGAACATCAAATAATCGATATAAACTCTTATATTAACTGTATTCAAAAGACAACTATCAATCGAATGGATTTTCACTCTAGTAAAACAACCTTTATATATAATAAATTATGAGGTATAATATTAGACATGATTCCACGTAAATTAACAAGTAAACGAATAAAATGATAATAATTTTCTAAAGTAACTCAAACAACAATGAAATCAGGACCTGACAATCAGTTTAATTGTTGTCAGTGAACAACAAAGAGTTCTATATCATCCAATAAGGGGCAACAGATAACTATCTAAACAGATAAAGTATATTTATTTGATCATTTCCTGGATTATATTTTAATCTAATCCGGTACTAGACATTATTTATTTATTTATAAATATTGGTACAAAGGGGCACCGAATGCATATGCGCCACACAAGTTACTTGATTTGTGTGTGGGTTGTAATATTGTCCGAGTGCCTAAACCGAAGCAAGTGGTTTTTTTAGAGGGACACCACAGCACAAACCTGGTAATGGCAGTATATGCGTGGCCATGTGAGATCATTTTGAGAGGGAGAACTGACTCGCCCCACCCTCAGTCGTAACAAGGCATTCAGGGGCCCAGTCACTATAAACATTTAAAAATGGGCGATTAGTATTGTTTAAATTTCTAAAAGTTTACACAATTATTTAAAAATTTACCATTTCTAATCAAGACTTTATAATTAACATGGAGACCGGTTATTTAGTGATTAAATCCTAACCTCAGTATATATATTTTTAATCATAAAAAACAGTTCAAAATGAACTGTTACACAAATATACTCGCTTTTTTGGTGGGTAAAACGTCATTTTCTTCCCCGTAAAAGTAGATGAACTTAAATAGATGTTAGAAAATTCTATTTTATCAGAAGGGGTTTTATGAAGATTTCATAAATTTCACTGATTGGAATTACGACCCAATTGAAGTTAGACCACCATGGAAAACCTGGAAGCGCCGGACGGCCGTTTCGTCCTAGTATGGGACTCCTCAGCAGTGCGCATCCACGATTCTGCACTCTGCGAGATTCGAACCCAGGAACTAAGGGTCTCGCGCCAGGCGCTTAATCTACTAGACCACTGTAATTTTTTAATCAATCTTAGATTGTTTTTTTCTCTCTTTCTCACTTATATTCACAGATTATATAATCTTCACTGTATTTATTTCTTCACAATTTAATTGGTTCAACTTTATATGAAGTATACTGTTGATGCTTTATTAAACCTAAAATGTTGAGGTACTATATATGTAATGTAAATGAATCTTATTCAACGTGTACAGTTGAAAATTAAACTACAAATTTAAACATGTTCATAAAATGACGATGACACTGTAAAAAACTATATATATAAACATATATTTGGGAACAGTTCGGTAAATCTTACTTGTACTACGTTAATGTATATTTGACGAAGATGATAATTTGTATCTACGGCAAGAGCTTTAAGGCCACCTGCAGCAGCTTGTGTAGTTAAAGCATTGACTGGATTAACAGCAGAAGTATTTGATGTAGTTGAAAGACCGGAAGTATTTGCTTGATCTAACACTTGAGCATTTGTTGAACTAGGAAGATTACCAGTGGAAGTATTTGATGCATTTGTTCCACTAGTTGGATTAGTTACATTAGATGAAGCACTGTTTGGATTAGAAGTTATACTACCTGAACCAGAGTTTGTAGTCGCTTTAGATCCTACTCCACTGAATGCTTTTTTGCAAGCTCCCGGACATGCTACTAATAAACGAGCAAGACTACGACAAGCACATTCACGAACGCACCACGCCGGATCTCGTAACCATGCAAGATTTGCAGGTAGAACAGTTTCCTGTAAACAATTTTCCGGCTAAAATATAAATAATAATAATGAATAAAAAGTTAGTCGGAAGAAATCTAACTAAATGAAATTAGTACACAGTTGAACTTATCTAATCACTGAATTTTTCTAACATTAATGCATTACGAGACAAGTGCCAACATAGAATCTTGAAGTTAAAACGAAAAGAGGAAGATCAAGGAACATATTGCATCGGGATCGTAAGCTGACATTACAAGAATGAATAGCAACTGGAAAGGATTGCTCAGGATAGAGTTCGATGGACAATGCCGGTGGGTGGCCTGTGCTCCTCCACAAGGGGTAACAAGTGTAAGTAGTAATTACTGACTTGGTTTTTGATGGGGTTTTGTTCTCTGAGTTGGATGGTTTGGTCGTGGGGCATTGATCGTTCTTCTGAACGACATCATCAACACAAACTTTAGGTAGAAGTGAAGTGTTCGAATTTCTACATGCTTCACTTATACCTGAAGTTTGTGCTGATGATGTCGTTCAGAAGAACGATGAAAGCTCCACAACCAAACCATCCAACTCAGAGAACAAAAGCCCATCAAAACCATCCACCTGACCTACAAATCTCCACCATCTCACTGTCTTGCTTTAATAAAAATAGAGGATCGAGTAGGATGAATAATCTACCAAATACAAATCAATGTGTTTGACATCATTTTACACGATGTACATACGAATAAGATGAGGAAGATTTTGAAATTCTAAGATAAATTTGGATTATACTCAGTGAAACTATTTATTTATTTATTTGAACACATACATATTGGTACAAAAGTGCGCCAAATATATATGCGCCACACAAAACAATGAGAATTTAAAGAGAAGGAAAAAGAAAAAAAAGGTAAGGAGGGTAAAAAAAGAGAACAATAACGAAGAGATTGGTGTAAGGTAGTGTAATAATAATAGTGGTAATAATGGGGGAACGGAAAGGTACAATCAGAAAAAACCCTTCAGTTAAGGAAGATACAACCATTTTTTCTTATGAAGAAAGTAAAAGAAGGTTACAGCAGGATCGCCACTGGCCTGTATTCTGAGCCATATCTGATAACATCTCTAGCCATTGAGTTATCATATCATAACTCAATGAAACTACAAGATAGTAGTAAGTAAATGAAAAAAAATCACAATGTAATGATGGTAATACCATTGACTAGTAATGTAACAGAGATTAGGTCGCCACAATTATACGGAATCTACAAAATAGAACTACTCGTTCGCTCCCCATTAATAACTCTCTAGTTAAGTATACAACAATGTACAATAAAAAGGAAACTAAGAAAATTTATTTTTGTAGCTTTGGTTGACGATGATATAATGTAGGATGTCATTTTTCGGAAATTTTGGTACATTGGCAAGGATAATTCTAACGATAATTTTGATACTGTCTACAATAACTCAACTCTCTTCTAACACTATTATCTACTAAAGAATGAGTATTTCAGAGCGTCAGATTCAACTTTACTCGAGTGTGTGTGTTCAAGATTCTTAAGAATATTATGGAAACCCTTTTAAAACAACAAATTGATTCAAATGAGAAAGAATATCTGATACAAAAACACAAATTATCCACACACAAAAATCTTACCAACTTATCATATAAACAAGGTACTGATTGAACAACACCAAGACGAACACGCCAATTTTTATCTTGCCAAAGACGAAGTAGACTTGGTAATAAGGTCAACTGAATCTCGTTAGCAGGCATTAAAGCTACTAATTCAGAAAAATGCTCGAATACATATTGTTTGGACTAAAAAATAAATACATTAAAATGATACAACCGTTAAATGAATAAAATATTTCAACGGCATAAAAAACATTAAATTTAACCAAAGGAATATTGGACAGTTTCAGTAGTGTCTCAATTTAGGATGCCTAAGCTATTATTAATAAACATATGACTAATAGTGACTGAACGTCAAAGGATTTCACGAAGTCGTCGGAAATTCAGTCGTATAGTGTGAGACAGGTATTATGAATAGCAATGGATGGTAAATGAGTGGTCAAAAAGTATGGAGCTAGCCAAAAGAATTGAAGTCCCCAGGTTCGATTACTGAAAGGGTCATAAATGCGCAATGGCTGAGGAGTTCCATACTAGAATATAACTAGACTCTTGAAGTCTGAACAGAAGCTGTACTTAAACTATGGGCTAAATAAAACTGAAGTATCAATTTCAGATAAAAATAATTTGCTTGAAAAGGAATATTACTGTCTGTAGGACAGTGACGTAGTAAACTCCTATCACAACACTAAATATTGTCACAGGTATTAAAGATATATATTCAACCAGATAAAAAGCATTCAGAAAATATATCATGAACTGGTAAAGAAGCATCGCCACGAATCTTATACAATTTGATGATAGACTACTTTGAACACCGTAAAGTTGTAATTAGAAGCACCGGATATATTAATGGATGCTGACTTAGCTTTTTAATTATTTCTGTCAATGCAACTTCAAATGTCCAATTGATGAAATAAGGCTATTTGAAGAACGAAACGGACATATTAACCAATCATAAGTTCAACTGATTGAGAAATCATCCTAGTTAACGTTTTTATAAACTAATGTGGAAGATGTAGGACTGAATGCTTCTCAAATCTAATAACCTAATAAAGTTTAAAAACTTTAATTTATATAGAAGTCATTACTCCGTTTGTTATGACACCCAAACACCCCGGTAAGGCCGAGGGTGGCAAGAGCCAGCTTCCCCTCTTGAAACGCTCTCAAATGGCCACACGTATACAGCCACTCCAAGGGAAGTCCTACTCACTGCCTTCACGTGCCCAGTGTAATATTTACGAAATTGAGAGGACGAAAAGCAAATGTCCGACAGTTTAACCAGGTTGCTGGATATGGAGGATCCACCTAGGGGAGTTGGAAAACCCTCATTTCAAACCAACGATGTAAATGGGCTCCATGATCCTGAGGGAACAAATGGTGTATGTATGAGCCTATTGTTGGTCACCGACTACTATGCGATTGCATCTCCTGACGTTGCTGCACTGCCTTGTGGGTCAAACAATTAGGTCGAAAGTTCGGGGTGTGGCCCCCTAAGAAAACTACCTGCTTCGGTCTGCGCATCCAGGTAGTATCATAGCCATCACACAAATCAAGTGACTTATGTGGCGCATATGTATTCGGTGGCCCAATATTTATGTGTTCAAATAAATAAATAAAATGATACGAAAAATGGTTTCCTTGTCCTCAGTGACTGGATTTGCAAACATCCTTAAAGTGGAAATTTATTAAAATATGCTTAGATAAAAGAATTACTAACAACAGTCTCTCACTAACCTGTGAACTTGTATCATTTAAAAATGCTAAAATATGCTGTACCAAAGGTAGACAATCTTCTCGACGAATAGATGGTAACAAACCAACAGCACATCGAACCAATTCAGAACGTACTCGTTCTTCACGTTCCATGGATAAATGTTCACGTAAACGCGGTAACAAAATGGTAACAAGAATATCTTTGGGGCTTGCAAGGCAGAAATCTATGAGAAAATGGTGAAGATGAAATCATTTGAACCACTGTAATATTTAGAGTAAGTTAACTTAAGACGATACATAGTTTGTCCAATAAATTGTGGATTAAAGGCATAAATGCTTCATTTAAAAACTAGCGACATCATTATTAAACTCTTTAAAATACCTCCCCCCGTTTGTGACAATATACTTTCATCATCTCTGTATCCATTGTTTGTAATACCTTCGAAAGTCCTCAGGCGTCAGTTTCTTGAGTGGAATCATTTTTCCACGTTTTCTACTCAACCAAAAATGTTGTACTGGATTAGTATACACAGAATGATTTCTCACGTTTACTTTATCAGCAATCATAAGGACAAACTGAGTGAAGGATCGAGAAGCATAAAATGTGACAGCCTATTTTAATCATAAATTTCTTAGATAGATGAATATAGGTTGGATTGCATCTTGTTGACTTACTACAGAGTGCAAAAATGTTTATAAAACGTCTATTTTATTTAAACACATAAACATTGATACAAGGAGGCACCAAGTAGATATGCGCCACATAAATCATTCGATTTGTGTGAGGGCTATGATACTGCCCGGGTGCCCAGACCGAAGCAGATTAAACGATTATCATTAGAAATGTTAAATTGAGTCTGGCAATTCCAGAAACAACATCTAATAGAAAACATGCATGATGTCACGTATCAGTTACATATTAGTATTTAAAGCCTAATGCAAGAAAGAATGAAAAAGACTTCAGCTGTTTTTTGCAAAAACCATTTCCCAAAGAGAAAAAATCTTTTGAACTAACAAAAAAGATAAACAAATTACTTAATTATTTTAAGAAGGCATTAAGATATCTCTTCAGTTTTATAGCTGATTTTGTCAACGCAATGTATGAAGTCAACAAAACTAATGAACAATCCAATGATATCAAGTTACTGAATCGGTTGTTAGTTAAATGATTGATGTTTATTGGTTGAAAACAAACGATAAGAAGCCTTGAACGTTTTTTATAATCCGCTTTACTTGAGATTCATTATCGAAGACAATGTGTATCTAAACAATTTGCAGAGGAAAGATGCTGTTTGAGGGGTTTGAACAGTTGTCAAGCAGTGTTAAAATGGAATCTGATTAATTGTAATAAAGTATGAATGAAATATTTTAAAACTACTGATCGTATTTAGAGCAAAACATTAACTGAAATCCTGAGAACTAATACAACTAATTTATTATTATTTATTTCAACACATACATAATGGTACAAAGAGGCATCAAATACATATGCGCCACACAAATCTCATTCGATATGTGTGAGGGCTGTGATACTGCCCGGGTGCCCAAATCGAAGCAGGTGGTTATCTTAGGGGGCCACACCCCGAGCCTTCGACCTGAAGGTCTGATCCACAAGGCAGTGGAACATCGTAAGGAGATGCAGTCCCATGGAAGCCGGTGACCAACAATTGGTTCATACGCCATTTGTTCCCGCAGGATACTGGAGCCCATGTGCACCATTGGTTTGGAATCCGGTTAAAGCGCCGGACATTCGCTTTTCGTCCTCTCATTTTCGTAAACAACACCCCCGCCACGAGAAGGCAGTGAGTAGGACTTCCCTGGCAGAGGCTGTATACGCGCGGCCGTGTGAGAGTATTTCGAGAGGGAGAGCGGACTCTCCCCACTCTCGGCCGTACCAGGGTATTCTAACATCTATGTTTTGATACAGGTATCGTTTACATTACAAAAATACTTTGGGAACAGTTGGAAGTCACTTATCAACAATAAAAGGTCTAGCACAAGTACACATCCGTTCAAGTTCATACAATTTATATCAAGAAATTAACAAGACTAAAAATTAAAGCAGTTAAAATAACGGTGTCAATGATGATGAATGGCTAAACACAATACACTATTATTATTATCAGCTTTATTCAATATTATATTTTTGGTACAATATAGAATTCTCAGCGCAAAGTATTTCAACAAGTTTCCGTTTCTTTCTTCTTGATCGGTCCTCGCGATAAATATTGAGTGATCGCCAGTTAGATGTTAGCAGTTCAGTAAATGAATATCTGAATAATGTGCATTCTTTTCGTTGTATATTGCCAGCAACCACATTGTCTCTTATTGAGTTTTTTGTAACTTTGACAACGAAAGATTGTACACTTTTCAGAAACGCAGCAGGATAGGTTATGCGAAATATAGACACAATGATACATTAAAACAAACAAAAATAGATAACTTGTTGAAATATCTAGATGACAGGAACAGGTAGCCCAGATGCTCAAGCAGGCCGCCCTGTATAAGTTGAAGAATAAAGAAATATGCAAAAAAACATACCTTTCAGTTGACCAGCACTGATTCTACGCGTTTCTACTTCATTATCTTCTAGAAGATTTAACATAGTCTGATGCAATGATCGATTGGCTCCGCCATGATTACAAACTAAAGTTTGAAGATTTGTGATAACTGATGCCATCGCCCGCCTCACATCTCTATAAAACATAAATAATAATGTTGCATGAAAAAGTAGTTTTTTGGGAAGTTTCGAAAAAAAATCATAATGAAACTGATTACAATGATGCAATTATTAGTCTCTGATTTGTCTTACGACATTATCATCATTTCAACATCTATACTAAATTACTGAACTAGAATGTTAAATCCGATAATAAGAAGTAATATCGTATAAAACCTTGTCGTAGCAATAAATTTGATGAAACTCCTTTTTTATTACACAACAGATCTAAAATTTATTTACTCTGAAGTGACTTACACGAAGGCACGGAATGTCAGAAATACAATTTTCTACTTATTGAGATATTGCTATCGTTGACTGACTTTAATAGTAAGAACTTTCATAAGCCGAAAACTGGTTCTATCAATTGCTTTAAATAATCAGAAAGAATTATGAATAATCTATATAATTAATGAGTTGTACAAATGAATATGTAGACTAACACTTGAAATCGATAAAAATGGCCAAACATACAGATAATTCCCTACCTGAATTAGTCATCAGGATATTCCAACTATTACATTTCTCAGTTTAAAAGATGAATTAATCTTGACTAAATCACCATTAGAGACATGTATGAATTGGACGACCGTTTCATCCTAGTATAGAGAACCCCAGGAACTTTGGTCTTGTGTACGAACCCTTAACCTTCAGATCACTGAGACGGGATCCAAAGGTTTTAATATCTAACTTCTTACTTGGCTTCCTCTTTTTCTGATTAATTTTTATCACCATTATCATATCATTACTATGATAACATTTCACTTATTATGTATTATATTCATACAACTTTATCCTTATTACTATCAGTACAATTTTAATTAGTCTGGTATTTCTCCTACCATTTATTATGTCCACATGATTTATCAAGTTATATTGATTGTAACTCGATCCATTATAAGGAATTTTCCTACCCCTTTCTTAATTGACCTTTAAATAAATGGTATAAGTTACATATATATTGGCGATAACCAACGCAAAGGTTTACTACCGTAACAGATAACATTATCTGATTCACTTACTTATGTATGGCTTATTTTGATCATTGTGGACTTACAACAGTAAAGTATGACAACGATTATGGGAACAAGTAATCGTTCAAATAATCATTGTTTATGATTTGTTACACGAATTTCACACAAATTAATGTCAATAAATAGTTGATTACAGCTTCGTGATCTGAATTTCATATTTTTTTATGTCAGTCACTCAGTTACAACGCAGGACCAGGCACATATATGCATCGGTCCAAGTTGCCACAGCTCATTAGCACAACACCGAACCTATAGAAGTAGGTACTTTAATGGTGGCAATATATAAACGAAAGATTGCATATATGTATACAGTACAGGAAGAAAGAATTAGTTGGTAGAAAGATATAAAGCAATTTTAATCTCACGGGTTAAGGGAAGACAAAGAGTGAGTGTACTTTATCATGTAAATTTGTAGAGCTATGTAACCGAGTAATCTGTTTACATGGTCAGGTATTCAAATTGCTTTCACCTTTAACGCAATGTTGCTTATTGTTATACAATACATATAACTAATAGCCTGATGTATGGATCCTTATTAAGTTATTAGATCATCTAAAAATATGCGAAAAAAACTCATTACCTGCTAGGATCCCCAGCAAGTTTGTCAATACATGGTCTGATAGTTGAGTCAAACTCTGCTGCATCCGTAACCATCCGTCCCAATTCCACTAACGGTGGTAAACAGGCTGCTCGAACAACACGTTGATTATCAGAAACCAAACTGAAATATACAAACAAAGAACAATTGCTATTAATAAAATTTGAGAATATTCAAACTTTACAAATCGACAAAAGTATTAACACAAATAGTTTTTGAGAAAATAAATATTTTAACACAATCAGTCAGTCAGTCAGCTACAACGTAGGACCAGGCACATATGTGCATCGGTCCAGGTTGCCATACCTCATTAACACAGCAAGATGAACACCGGATTCATAGGAGTGGTTAGGTCAAAGGTTGCAATAAGGATATAGTATAGGAAGAAAGAATTAGTTCGTAGACAGAAAGAATGAAGTGATTTTAGTCTCTTAGTTTAAGGGAAGACAGGGAGTGTATACACCGACGCCACTGTGATCGATTCTGAGCCATGTCACCAAGAGTCTCCAACCATTGGTTACGAAAGTCACGCGGACCCCAACCAAGTAGTCTGCATCTACCAACATGGCTCAGACTAGAAGTTAGTGACTTCAGGCACTGATGCCACGTTTTGGTTTGGCCGCCCCTAACTTTCTTCCAACCATCCCCTACACCGGTTAGCATTGCACGTCGTGGTAATCGGTGTTCAGGCATACGTAATACGTGGCCCAACCATCTCAGTCGATGAAGATTCATAACCTCATCAACTGATTTACCATCATTCCCTAATACCCTGCGTCTAACCTCACTATTGCTTACCCGGTGATCCCAGCAGACCTGTCTGACATGGTAGGACCTTGAGGAACGGTTGTTCCAGCCAGTATAGCTCGGTTGCTTCATCACGATAGGCAAGCCCGACCACCACGTCAAGGTAGCAACAACGGTCGGGAGATCTCACTAGAACTCTAGGATATACTTCGTGTAGCCAGTCACTATTTATTTGAACACAAATATTGGTAAAAAGGGTCATCGAATACATATGCGCCACATAGGTCACTTAATTTGTGTGATCGCTATGATACTACCTGGGTGCGCAGACCGAAGCAGGTAGTTTTCTTAGGGGGCCACACCCCGAACTTTCGACCTAATTGTTTGACCCACAAGGCAGTGCAGCAACGTCAGGAGATGCAATCGCATAGTAGTCGGTGACCAACAATAGGCTCATAAATACACCATTTGTTCCCTCAGGATCATGGAGCCCATTTACATCGTTGGTTTGAAATGAGGGTTTTCCAACTCCCCTAGGTGGATCCTTCATATCCAGCAACCCGGTCAAAGCGCCGGACATTTGCTTCTCGTCCACTCAATTTCGTAAACAACAGCAATGTCGCGAGAAGGCAGTGATCTTATAACTAGTAAAACATTGAAAGCTAGACAAATTTCTCTTGTTATAAAGAACAGAAAAGAATAACTTGCCGATACTTTATTTTCTCTCAAAAAAAGCTAACTGATGATTTGATTTGATTCTACATCATTTGGTACATTATAATTAACTTAAAAGTGAGTTAAGAATGAATTATTTTAAGACTTGACTAAGTTTTTTAAAAATGTAAGATGGAAAATTATTTCACATAGAACATTTACAATTGAAAGTGAATAACGTCATTCAAAATATATGTGTAACAATTGTTAGGTCGTGAGAAAAAGTTATAAACATGTACATATATACAACACCTTTTAGTAACCAAACAAGTTAACTTCGCGGTTAAAGTAATTTTTTAAAATAAGACTTATAGGCGCACATCTGTTAAAAAAATATATAACAACACACTGACAAACCTTGCAAGCAGCAGACTTAGTTCTGATTTTAAATCTGGACCGAAAAGTTTTGCAAGTGGAACAAGTTGTTGAACAGCAGCAGCCCGAACTAAAGGGACTTCATCTTCACTATCAGCCAAATGGAAAAGTCGGCTGAAATTATGCAATACATAAAAAGTGAAATTAAAACTTGCAAAATTAAATCTATATACTAGAAATATGTCAATGTTAAGTGAACTCTAATGATTTTGTAAATCCATCACATGTCAACTAAAATGTATGCAGCATCAAATTGTTAAAATTACTTAAATTCCATAGAATATAAAACTACCCTTTTAAATACAAAACCTTTAGATCATAAAAACAAAGATATAACAAGACAGCAACCAGACAGAATGGAACTAATGGTCAGGGGTTTCACCCAGTGGATTTCATATTTCCCCAACTTGAGTCAGAACAACTGGATATTTAGTGATTTCATATGATGAGTGTTCCATAAAATCAAAAGCACGAAACTGTACTAAGCTATCGGTTGATATTAGTTAGAGTAATTATGTACAAGTTTGTGGACAGAACTATAAGCCGATTGTGCAAAACACTGAGATTCACATGGCAGTAGGATGTTGATCTTCATTCAGAAAGCAAGTGTATAAAACACATAGAGGTCAGAACGCAGGAGACAATACCATTCGAAAAAATCCTGAACCAAAAATCAATACAAAACGAAAATTGAATGACTTACTACTTAAAATCCACTTGATTTCGTGCTGAGACCATCGGATAACAGGCAATAATTAGTTTTGTAACCACTTTTCTTGAAGCACAATAAAGATCCTCTGAAAAATTAGTACAAATATACACTACTGTTAAGAAACATGCTAACTAACGAGGAACCCAGGATTTTAAAAAAACAACCTTGAAGTATGCAGTACGTCTATGGCAGAAACTATCATAAGACTACAAATCAATTTTTTAACAGGATATTATACTCCGGTTTAACTCATCTCTTTAATAAATTTTTATGTACTTGAACCTGTTTCATTCATTGTTTAAGATGGGTAGCAATGTTATTTGGCTATTTAAATCTCAGTATATGCAATAAGTTTCGAGCATGCAAACTTCGTTGGAAATGAAATGCCTGGATCAGAGACTCATTATAAACGAATATACAATTTGGTCTAAACAAGCGTTGTTTATAATAGATAAGAATTTTTTGAGAAACAACTCGTCTATAATACTCTATGGGAACTTTCTTTAGCTACTTACAAAGGAAAACAGAGCAAAGAATTTATCTGTACACAATCAAACGGTAATAATTTGTTGAAACAACCTGACTAGATTGCTATAAGATGAGACCGTAAACTTATACTAAGTCTACATTAGTATCAGTTGACAAATCATTCAAGAATAACTGTACAAATGTAAAAGCTGACACACTGAAAAACCGAAATTGTCATAAACAACCAAGATTACTCAATAATTTTGTTTGTACCGGAGAATTTATTGACTCAGATTACAGCTATAGTTAGATCAGTCATACCGTGTAGGAAGTTTTATTCATCCAAACAAGTTTTATAGTTGTGTGATTGCAAAAGTCTATTCTATAACTTTTTTTCAAAACCATGTCAACCTGACTTTCAAATGAGCACTTATCATGCTCATTCATGTTCGAGGAGTATAACATAAAATCAAGATCAAAATGAATGCTTTTATTCATCACTAAGCAATATATCTTTAGGAAAACTGTCTATTAGTTCGAAATCACGACATAAGCTGAAGCAGTTAGACCTCAGACAATCCTAAAGGAAAGTTAAGCAGACAACATTTAACTCCTAAAATGAATGATGAAAACAGGATTCGAATAATCAACGTCGTCGACTGTCCAATTTCAAAAGTCAAAAGGTTCTCTGAACATTAAAGCAGAAACTCAATGACTTAACATGTCACCTGACCAATGAATATAATATCCACCTTTGCAAAACAGTTGGAAAAAATACGCTGCTAGCTTAAAGCATATATATTAACTGCCAATAAGATGAACTTGCTAATTTATTAACAACTCGAATAGATATGAAACGAATGACAATAGTCTTATGTTTGTAGTGATTGTTATTATTACAAATTGGATTTTTGTATATGAACAAGGCAAAATGTAGTAAAAGATAAGAACTGCGTTGTAATTTACGGAACTATGGCAAAATGTTCTAAGAACCGGTCAGGCAGAAGGTTCTAAATGTTGGCAGAGTATCAGGTGGGAGGACAACATATAGGAGGCTAGAACTAAATGTGATGCTTCGAAGCCAAACTGACGATACGTTGATTTTCAGTTGAGTTGCATTTCCGTGCAAGTGTATTTATAAAGAATGACGGCGTTACGAATAACGCATATGAACTCACCTTCAATGATGTGACGGATAATTGGGGTAAACGTGTTATCCACAACATCATTTGGAAGCTTTGGAAGGAGTGCTATTAAAGAATTACAAGCAGCTTCAGCTACAACAACTTCCTCGATGGAATATATGATATTTGCCAGGATGGGCTATGAAAAGAGAAATATTACGAATATATTAAAACGCTGGTAAAAAATTACATTTGCACTAAAGAGAGAATTAGTTGAGCGATTTTTAGAAAACCGGAAAACCATTCTAACACAGAATTTGAAACATCCTTTAACACTAATCTTCGTTCAACTACAGTATTTCTCCGACAGGTTGATGTCGGCTCTGGAATATGGCTTCAGAGAGGCGAATCCTTCAAGTGTAAGTAAAAGAAACTAGGCCTTAACCACCACAAATATGGTACACTTTAAGAACTTAGTTGTTTTATTGAGGATTCAACAAGTACACAAGCAACTTACAACAATTAAAGATATGTGTTCAGCACCACCAACTAGATCGCCAAAGGAACCCAGCTTTTGAGCTATAACCATGAGAATTTCATCGTCGCCAGCATCAATAGCGTTGGAAACAACTTCTACAAATAAATAAAAATATTGTCATTCGTAGGACATGATACGATATCTCTTGTAGAGCTTTTAAGAGCTTGACTCACCTGAGATTGTAGGTATGAGTTTTTCACGTGTATCCACCGGACCCAGACTACTGGCTAGTGTGGGTAAAGTGTGAAATACTCGAAGTTTTTCCTAATGAACTAGTCTTGATTCGATCAAACTACTTACAGATGTTTCCAAGTTCTCATATTCTGCATCAGAAGCATTGGAAGGTGCCGTTGAGTTATCAAACCTTAGGGTTTTTAAAGTTTGTAGCACAGCTTCTAAGACCGACATTTGTACATTATTATCGCCACAACGCCTAGACAAAATAGGCGGACTAGTGCCTAGGCCTTGAAAATTGAACAACGTATATGAGGTTAAGCTGAACAACGGTCAACACCTAAGAGGTGCTTAGCCAATTTCATCTCGTTAACCATATAATGCTAATTTCCGTATTTTAATTCTGGGAATTTTGATCTATCGATATAAGCTACTAACTCAAAGATCGACTCTCCATGATCTAACCTTCACAATTGAAAATGAATATATCAAGTGCAAGAATTGTGTAGCGGAAATAAATTCCCAAAATAAATAATTCTGTATGTCCTCAACATTGATGCTGACCCAATTAGTTTTACTCAACACACCCTAGCTGAAGGCGATCGATCACGCATCTGCATCAGCTCACGAGTGGATACGCCGTGCTACTCATCCCTTGTAACTCCTAGCTGGCTTAGACCAAACGCTTTTCGACGGCTTTCTAAGTGCGTCTTTGAGCCCCTTCGCTTCTGACTTCTGATTTGACTGTGTTGGCATCCCTCCGTTATAAAGATGAGACGTATGGAGGCGGTGTCAATTTCCGAATACCTGTGGCATCTTTAACCATAATGTCAAAAGTCGATACTTAGTGGGAATTGCAAAGGTTTTTATCGGTTATGAAGGGCAGTTAGTTCAATATAGTAAAGTATGAGAAAAGGACCAGTTTTTTAATTTTAAAATGATGACCGGACTGAGGGACGAGTCACATAGCGTTTGCTACGTGAGAGCTCGAAAATATTGTGACCTAAAATTTGAGGACCCTGAAAGTTTTTTGAATTACTTGGTTGAGGCTTGTAACGAGGACGTCCGTATTAGCACTATCATGGTCATGTTATCTAGATCGAATATGCAATCATTTCAAGTCACAAAGGAAATTATATTCCACTAGTTACCTAGCCCTAACATACAACTTCTTAGGTTTCATTGATCAATAGTCTCTGTTGTTGTCTGTTTGTTCCCCCATTTCACGTATCGTTTGCAATTCTTGTTATTGGCTATAAAAGGTTGTTCAAGTTGTCACTTTCATTACAAGTACGAAAACATATGAAACACCTGTGGTGTCTTATGAACTAGATCAAGAGTTACCTGATCGAACTTTGGTAAGACGGATGTCGTATAATGAAGTATAGATTTCTGGAGTTCCTGTGAAGTCCCCCATCCTCTATGGATTAGTAGACATAGATTATAAGACGATTAGAATATACCTTGACATCTAAAGTCATCTAAAGGTGCTGCAAATATCAGCGTTACTAAACACCGTCACTAACAATCTAACATTCTCACAGCAGCGAAAGCTAGTGGACCTTATGACCGAGTTAACTACATTACGGGCAAAAATCTTTATTCTGCAGGTCAGGCAGACATCGTCATCTCAAAGGTAAGATATGAAACTACGAACTCGATTCTCAAAAATAGTTGATCATATGTTTTTTTAACATCAGCGGTACCACGATTTCGCATCTTAAAAACTAATTTCAATGTAATATCTTTGACGTATGTTTGTACTTATGTTAGTAAAGATTCCACATATATACGTTTCTTGTGATAGTATTTCTTTTTTTCCTTTTTAACATGCAATGCTTCCACTGCTTCTCTATCTATTCACATATTTTATTTTGATCATTCTGTTAGCATGCAGTTATTATTTCAGTATAGCATTATTTATTGGTTTCATTCGATTTAATCTAATGTATGGTTTCCTTGGAGACAGGAAGTTTTTAAGCTATCAGCTACAGAGATTTGCCGTTTCGGATAGATCATTAATTATATGTTTCTAACACATCTCTCACAATTATTATGCGGTAAATCGCTCACTTTGGTGAGCTTTGACTCGTTATATTCTTATCTCATGTTAACAGGACACTGTCAATGGGACCCCGGCATTACTGCTCCTGTTTAACGAGTAATCAATCGATATTTACGATGTCGTAATCTTTGAATCTCCTATGACTAACCTAACAAGTGTTGTTGCGATTAGCTGTTGCTCATGCCGAAGGAAATATTGTTTAAATACATTTTTTTATTCTTACACTCGTATTTCATTCGTAAGTGCCATGCCTATTGTGTTTTCGTAAACAATTTTCACGTCATCATAAAGAACGTGACCTGTTATTGTCTCTTGATACCCTCAAACTGAAGTGCGTCATTGAATCATTAACTGGTATAGGTCTGTTGCATTTTCAAGAATTTCGGATTTTATACTAGTTGTAAAGATTTCTGATCGTTCCGGCTTGCTAGGCTTGATCATCTATGAAACTATTACAAAAACGTTCAAGAACAGAGACCAATAAAACTAATTTCATTGCTCTACTTTTCCCAGCTGATAGTAGAAGGCTGAAATGTGATTCAATAGAGGGCGGAAAAAGATTATGGATGACCACATTACAACAGACACTAGGTATGCATAAAATAATTAATCCGGAGATGAACACCGATCAACTACTAAAATACGTTTACTGTTTAAAGGTACTGCTGACGTGTTTGGATATTCCAACTAACGAGGGTATAACTACACTATGAGGTTGACTTCCGAATGTTCACAGTTAAGGGGGAAAATTGGTAGTCGAATGTAAAATCGATGGCCCCGAGTTGATATTCGTTTAAATGGATCTGTTACAACTGATGGTGCTATGTCGGCACTGCTGTTTTGTTCGAACTTATCGAGACTTTGTATGGTTACATCTATTTTTTAGATTTTGTTCTCTTATGTTCGAGTCATGATTGGTTCGTTATTTTCAGCCATGATATCCCGATCGTGTGGTGTTAATACACGTATCTTGACGCATTTACTGAGTAATAAAGCTGGCCACGATAGATAAGAGAGGTCATTTACCATGATAATTAAAAGTGTTCTCATTGACGTGAAAACTAAGAATCTCTCCAATAGTCAGGTTAAACGAGATGAACACAATTGAACGTGTTCCATGTGTTTCTAGAATTAGCTGTGGAATAAAGTACAAAGGGAACGTCAACTAGTTTAAAAACTAAATTTACGTACAAGTGAAATAAGATTTGCAGTAGTTGAAATCCGATAATCATCGTTTTTCAGTTGTTAACCACACTTCAGAAATTAAAAAAAGTACATTAATAATTGCAAATAAATCAAAAGCGAGACAAAATATGTGTTTTAACAGTCAGTCACAGAAATGATACGTTTACAGAAAGAAAAAATAGATTGTCAAAGAGAAAGACTTACACAGAGAGGTTTTCTCATATTCCTACCTACCTACGCAAGTTATCCACAAAGGAGTATAAGCTGTCAATCAGCATTCTACAATCCACTCTATCCTCGGCTTTCCTTTCCAGTTCTGTCCACTTGTTATTTATTCTTCTCATATCTGTCTCCATTTATCGACGTAACTAGTTCTCTGGCCTTCCTTTTCTTCTTTGGTCTTCAGGGTTCCATGTGAGGGCTTGCCTAGTGACGCAGTTGGGTGCTTGCCTCAATGTGCGTCTCATCCACTCCCAAAACTTCTTCCTGATGTCTCTCTCCGTTGGAATCTAGTTTGTTCTCTCCCACAGTAGGTTGTTGTTGATAGTGTCTGGCCAACGGATCCGAGGTATTTTGCGTGGATACCTATTAATAAACGCTTGTATGTTCTGGATGATGGCTTTCGTAATTTTCCAGGTTTCCGCCCCATGCAATAGAACTGTTTTGACATTTGTATTGAAAATACTGACTTTAGCGTTGGTTGACAGACAGTTGTTTCGAGTTCCATATGTTTTTTAATTGTAGATATTCTACTCTCGCTCTGTAGATCCGTGCTTTCACATCTGCATCAGATCCGCCGTATTCATCAGTGATGCTGCCCAGATATGTATATATATATATTTCTGCATGCGCAGGTACACGCCATTTTTGCAGACATGATCCATAAATTACAACACTTGTTGGTTCACAAAACGCTTCGCAACTTATTAAGTTTATAGTTGTTATAAAGTATACTTGTAGGGCGCTTGCTGTAAACCGTGACCTTGAGGAGACACGTACGTCAAGTTTGTTCCAGACGTCAGAAGTTTATTATTATTACGTCTTCCAAATTTCCAGCGAGATTCTTTGTTGTATCATACAGTTGTCTCATGTTTCCTTCTCTCATGGACTTGCTAGTTCTTCAGAATATTTGCGTTTATCAGCTTTGATGCTCCCCCTCACTTGCTTGTTTGCTTATGTGTATTCAGTTTTTGCCTTGGCTTTCTCTTGTTCTCTTGTTCGACCCATATTTTTGCTGCCTTGTTGTTCCGCTTTTTTGAATTTTACCTAGTGTATCAACAGTGGCCTGGTCCTCGTGATGATGCTTCTTGTGACCCAGAACCTCACGACATGTTGAAGTGATTGTCTCTTTTATCTCTTTCCAGTTTTTCTCCATAGTAGTTCCCTCTGCATTGAGTAGGTTATGAAAGGTCTGAAACCTATTGCTGAGGAATATCTTGAATTCTTTGAGTTTGTCAATATCCTGAAGAAGGGCCATATTAAGCTTCTGTGATGTTCAGTTTTAATTTCACCTTGGCGACCAGCAACTGATGATCTGAGGTTACATCAGCCTCTCTCTTGGTTCTAACGTCCTCCACCGTCCTTCTGAACTTTTTGTTGATGCAGATATGGTCGTTTCGGTTCTGTATTGTGTGATCAGGTGAAATACATGTTTCTGTGTGCGTTTATGTAGGAATGTGGTGCCACCTATGGTCAATTTGTTTTCAGGCACATAGGTTTGAAAATCTCGTACCATTTTTGTTTCTTCCTCCCAGTCCATGTCATCCCGTGATGTCTTCATATCCGGTGTTGTCCTTTCCAACCTTGGAATTTAAGTACCCATCAGGATGGTTAAGTCTTTTGTTGGGCATATCTCAATGATTGACTGCATTCTGTCGTAGAATTGATCTTTAACGTCTTCACTGTAATCGGTCGTAGGTGTACAGCAACGGATGACATTCATTGTGATCCCCTACTTCATTATTTTGAAGGAGATTTTGGTGATCCTGGGTTCATGAGATCCCAACCCTGTAGGCGCTTTTTGTGCTTGTTTGGATAACATCAATGCAACTCCTTGTGTAAGTGGAGTATTTTCTTCTTTGTATCCGGAGTATAATAGCAAATCCTCTGAAGCTATTATTTGCTGTCCAACCTGCGTCTCATGTGTTTGACTGTTTA